CCCGAGGCAACGGCCGTTTCTTCGTGATGCAAGAAAGTGTTATTGACATGTTGTTAGGGTCCAGGGATGGGAAGGGGGGGTGGGGGAGGGGAGGGGACGGAGGTTGGAGAAAGGGAGGTATAAAGACAGGGGAAGGGAAGAAAAGAGGGGGAGAGAGAGGTGAGGAGAAAGGGAGGTAGACAGAATGAGAAAAATAAGAAATAGAGGGAAAGGTAAGGAGGAAGAGGGTAGACTGGGTGAGAGGAAAGGGAATTAAAGAGAGAGAGAGAGGGGAGAAAGAAGGGAAGAGAGAGAGGAAGGACGATATGAAATGTGAAGGGAAATAAAAAGACAGAGAGGGAAAGAGAAACAGAGGTAGACAGAGTGATATGCAAAGAGGAAGAGTAATTCGGGCGAAAGAGAGATAGGGAGAATAAGAGGGAAGGGGGGGGGAGAGGCAGGAGAAGTGGAAAGGAAGCAAAGACGGAGAGAGAAGGTGAGAGGAAGAGAGGTAGGGCAGCCGAGAGGGAAAGAGGAAGGGAGGCAAAGTGCACGAATGAAGGAAGGAAGAAAGAAGGCAAATGAGGGGGTGGAGATGGAAGGGCCGTTGGCGGAGTGAGAGGGGGGGGCGGGGAGGAGGGGGGGCGGGAAGGAGGAGGCAAAGAAGGAGAAGGAGGGAGAGAGTGAGGAAGATAGGGCGAATGGAAGGAAGTTAAAGAGTAAGGTGGAAGGAGGAAGGGAGAATGAGAGAAATGGAGGATTGGAGAGAGGGAATTAGGGGAAGAGAATGGCAACAGACGGGGTGAGAGGGAGAGGGCGAGAGGGGGTTGGTCATCATGTAAAATCACAACCAACTGAAGACAGATCCGGACCAACATAGGGCAGCGAAAGGAAGGCGAAGCAACAGAGTGAATACCTTTACCCCATAAAAGATATGTAGCGCAGAGTTTCCCGTCCGCTGCCGCCCCATTATGCAAGTGGCCAGCCTCCTCCTCCAAGCCGATTCGCGAGGAGACATTGTTACATTTCCGTGGCGTTACTCGCTGGCACCGAACGCCCCCCGAGGTAAGGGAACTGCTCCCGACGGCGTGAATATTCATATCGTAAGTGGCATCCTCATATTGGCCAGTTATTGTGTTGATTATCAAGCTCCGCGCAGTTCTCATGCAAATTTATTTAAACCAAGGCAGCCAAAACGAAGGGAAAAATGGGCCGTGCTTCAGGCTAAAAGGAAGGTCTGTCAGCGTGAAGATTATTGACTTTTTTGTACATATAAATCAGGCTAAGTTAAGTGTAATCAGGCTGATGATGCATCACAATTTCTCCCGCGGTAAAAATCAGGTCATTTCTTTCTTCTTTTTCCTTTTCATTCATGTGGCCAGATGCAACATGTTTTGTACTACATTCCGAGTCGTACTCCGATTTTTTGTGTACTTAACAGCCTAAGAATTATGTTCTGCTCGTGTGAGTGTAACGCCTTGAAGGAAGGCGCCGAGAGCGCTCAGGAATCACTCGTCTCATTGGTCAAGTCCACAAATGTTGATTTCATTCCCTAATACTATCGGGTGATTAGCATCGGCTGTCGAATTGCGGTTTTCAATACGAGTTCGTGTTACGCGCCAAATAAGATCCCGCAAAATTAACCACGGAGGGGAGAACCAATCAGCGAGCAGATCTGGCCAGCGCGGCAGGCTATTGGCTGAGAAGCAACTGGCTGCTTCCATGTGTATCGTGACCCATTTCGCTCACTGAATGGAATCCCGAGCAATATCCCGCCGTCTCGGGCTATATCTCGTCGATTCCCTTTACAGGAGGGAAAGGAGAAGGCGTTTCAGATGCCCAGAGGAGAGGAAGCATGCCGGGGGAGGCTTGATCCTGGAGGGAAATCGCCCAAACCGAAAGCGGCTGATGCGTTCGGGCGCGCGTGATGCCGAGCGAAACTCCGAGCGCCTTCTGGCCACGCCGGCATGGTCGTGCGGGGATGCTTAGCTTCGGATCTCAGTGGACTTTGTCGGGTGATGTGACCAACTGTGCTGTGTGTTCTCTCTGAAGTGCGAACGAAATGGAATTGTAATACCACCTCGTTAGGTCTCTAGGAGAAGGTAGGCTACGGTTTTCTTTCGAAATAAATGTTCTCTATCCCGCTTAGTGAGTTTGATGTTTGACTTTTTGAAATACAGAAGCTTCTAACCGTATGGGCCACGTGGACGCTGCTCCGCCCTCCGTTTTGCTCTTATGAATAAAATGAAAGTTTAGAAATGTTTAATGGCTGTGTTTTCGTTTTTCTCAAACATCTCATTCAGTGAATCCTATGCTTCACGAGTCCGTTGTTTCACCTTCTCTGGAAAGGAGGCAGTTGTCTCGCTCAAGTTGTTCAGTTAACAGATGGCGCTGTTGCTACTCTGTGTAACATGAGCGAAAATGACACAAAACGGCACTGCACTGCACACAACAACATCCCTTGTACAAGAGAGCTTTGCAAGTTTTAGAACAACGAGGTACACTATGCACGTCCCTTTATTAAATGGGGAACCCTATTAATGCGCCGGTAACTGGTGTGTTTAATTAATTTTTTATTCTCCGGAACATGTGATTTGTGCTTTTAATTGAAGGGGGATTGTCAGTGGTACAGTGGCGATATTATGGTGACTATATGCGTCGCCATGGTTTTGACTCTTGTCATAGTGTTTCTTTGAGAGGACGGGGTGGAGCAGTTACAGTGTCTGAGGGAAAACGAGACTGGGTGCTTAGCTTTACACCGAGAATACCAGGTGTTCATGTTGCAATGAGCAGTCGGTGCAAGGTTTTGGCAGGAGAGGCTGTTGACACGCAGTGGGCAGATGAGACGCGGCTTCGTCGTCGAGGGAGCACGGCGTTCTTCATGGCTGGTGCTCTATATCGATGGCCCGATGCTGGCTAAATGGCGTTGCGGAGTTGCAGGTTTATGCAGTATGGCCTCTGATTGCAAGCTTGGGTAGTATATGGCATTTGGGTGTAGTCTAGCATAAGACATGTTTTATTGCACCTGTGTTTGCCAATTACCTGACGGCTCTGCTGCTTGATTGATGATGTCAGTTTTACGATAGAGATATTGTGTATAAGCCTACGTAGCATTGTTTGCGGTGCCAGTTCAGTTCTTTTATGATGCTGCTAGGGATTTCCTTTCGTATATATATATATATATATATATATATATATATATATATATATATATATATATATATATATATATATATATATATATATACATATA